ACGTCTCAAGGGTCGGCGTGGTAGAATCCGTAATCCAGCAGCTGTGAGAGTGAGCAGTACCCGCCCACCTGTGTGACGGGCGGGTAGTGGGTGGAGGAGGGATAGGTTGTGGGTGGAGGGGGGATAGACAAGGGGATGGATGAGAGGGGTACGGGGAAGGAGAAGCAGATGAGGGATTGAGACGGATCAAAATTGAGGGAGAAAGGAGGAAGTGCAGGAGCTGGGGCGCTGGTGCGTGCTTTGAAAAAATGGAACTGATGAGGCTTTTTTGAATGGCAGGGACCATTTGAAGGAGGAGGAGGTGCTCTCACCTCCACCACCCTCTCTCACCCCTCACCATCCTCTCTCATCCCTCACCACCCCCTCACCACCCCCTCTCACCTCCACAAGGCTGACGTCCTTGCTGTCTGCCAGGCGCTGGCCCTGTGTGTGACACGCAGGAAGAGGGAGAGAGAGGACGGGAGGGAGTGAGATGGGGAAGCAAAGCGCGAATCTGCCATAAACATTTTTGGGTCACACAATGCATGCATTGACTCAGTGCAAGCATCTCGCATCAACCTACTCCTCACATGCCACATCGACCCAGTACAAGCACATCTCACATGGATCCACTATAAGCACAGCTCACATCGATCCACTCCATGATGAGCACGCGGCGAGTGGTGAGCTCGGGATACATGCGCGGCACCACCACCCTGTCTATCCGCCCAAACAGCTCACTGAGGGGATGGGTATGGGGGGATGGGTGTGTGGGGGTGAGCTCTAGTGAGAGCATGCAGTCAGTGCGAGTGGTGAGCTCGGGATACATGCGCGGCACCACCACCCTGTCTATCCGCCCAAACAGCTCGCTGAGGGGATGGGTATGGGGGGATGGGTGTGTGGGGGTGAGCTCTAGTGAGAGCATGCAGTCAGTGCGAGTGGTGAGCTCCGGATACATGCACGGCACCACCACCCTCTCTATTTGCCCAAACAGCTCGCTGGGAGGATGGGTGTGGGGGGGGTGTGGAGTGGGGAGCGGATGAGAAGAAATTTGCAAAAAGCACAAAATAAGCTGATCCGGGAGCACACAAAGATTGCAAGCCTACACTCCCTCACATGGAGTGGTGAGGCCACGGCACATACAGACACTACTACATGAGGTGAGAAAATTCAGTGGGTGAGAACATGGGATGAGTGAGATGAGACTTACGCGAATTTAATTCCGTTTTGTGCCTCCTGCTCGTAGTCCATCTCCTGCAATTACAGCCCAGCACAGCAGTGAGCAGAGCAAATCAGGGCAAATCAGGGCACGGGAAAGTGCGAACCGGCATGGCTTGCTTGCTTGCCGTATGAGAATTCAGAGCTTGTGAGTCGAGTGCCTTGCCTCAACCTCTGTCAGATGGAAATCAAATACATTCATACCACACCCCACCACACCACACCACACCACACCCCACCACACCACACCGCAGCCATACCCTGAAGAGGCTCGTAGCCCACTCGTCCACCACTGCTTGAAGGTCTGTGTTTAACTTGCGGTACTGCCTTAACCAGCCGGCAAAGAGGCGCAGAATGAAGATGTCCAGCGCAATGGCTGCCCGCACTCCCGGGCGCTGCACCTTCACAGCCACCCGCTGCCCCCCCGCCCTCAGCCTCGCCTCGTACACCTGGGAGGGGGGGAGAACGAGGGGAGGCCCAATGGGAGAAGGCAGGACCGCACACGTGGGGGGAGTGGGGAAGGGAAGAAAAAGGTGAGCATCAAGTAGGGGAAAAGAGAGGGGGGGGAAGGGAGAGAGGTGGAGTGGAGGCCGTGAGGAGCTTTGAGCAGTCACCGCCAGGGGCAAGGGGAGGAGTCAGCAGCAAGCGGGGCGGGACTCAGCTGAGGGAAGGCACAGCACAAGGAGCATACGTACCCAGTTTAGTCATTAAACCCGCCCCAGACCTTCCTTTCTGCGTCCCTACCTGCAACAACCTCTACCTACCCCAGTCACCACCTGCCCAAGTCACCACCTGCCCCGATCACTACCTGCCCTAATCACCACCCCCCCCAGTCCCCACCTGTCCCAGCGAAGCAGCAGCAACAGGGGAGGGCGATATCTGGTCGAAGAGCAGGTCGACTGGCACGCCCAGCTCCGCCTCGATGAGGTCTAGTGCCGTGCGCGTGGGGAAGGGCGCTATGCGGTCCTGCAGGAGTGACAACTCGTCCACGTACTCTGGTGGGATCACGTCCTGATTGGAGGGGAGGGTGGGCGGGTGGGGGGGCAGTAGGGGAGTTGAGTGTGGGAGGGAGGGTGATTGTGCGCTCAAGGAGTATGTGGCTGCAGGGTGCAATGCATCAAGGACGGGCGCTCTGCGGTCCTGCAGTAGTGAGAGCTCGACCACGTAGTCCGGAGGGATCGTGTTCTCATACAGGGGAGTAGAGTGAGACGGATGGGGACAGTGACGCGTTGGGCGGGCCGGGGATTGGGGCGGGGGGGGGGGGGGGGGAGTGGCATGCTGGAATGGGTTGACATGGCGCCTTGAAGGACATGACACCTGGCATGCATGACACATGGCATGGCACAAGGCATGCTCAGAAGAGGAGGACTACGCACAAATGGATGGCATGCACGGCACTTGAACGATGGATAGTTGACGGAACAGCTGATGCTGTGTGCGCAAGCATACATGCACACATCACACATGCATGCGGCATGACGCATGTCGCAGGCATGGGCACGTGGGCACATGGGCATCCCAGGAGAAGGACACATACCGGGCGAGAGGAGACAGCCTGGGCGATTTTCACAAAGGCCTGGGGGGTGGGTGCACAGGGGGTGAGGGTGGCGGTGGTCGGGTAGGGGAGATCGGCACATGAAAAGCAGGGAGGTAGGAGAGAGTGAGTGAGAGTGAGTGATAACAGAGTGGGGCGGGTGGATGGCTGAATGGGAGATGAAGAAAGGCATGCTGGCACGCAGGCAGGCAGGCAGGCAGGCATGGAGGGGGGGAGGGAGGGAGGGAGGGCGCCAGAATAACGGAATGTCGCCTGGAAAATGAATGTGTGATTGTGCTTTCACACCCATCTGCAATTGCACACCCTGAGAACTGAAACTGCGCCTTGGCCCCCTCTTCCCTCGACCAGCGGCACCACTTAAAGCCCCTTACCCCCCCCATCTCACCGGCCCCAGCAGCACGAGCGCCTGGCGCAGCTCCCCTGCGCGCTCCTGGAAGGTCTCCTCCGCGCGCCCCAGCTTCGCGTCCGCCCACCGCTTCCCCGCCCACCCGCCCATCACCGCGCCGATCTGCGCCAGCCGCCGCGCCACCAGCAGCGGGCGCGCGCGGAAGTACTCCGCCATGGCGCGCGCATCGTACTCCGCCCACTCGTCCCCCCCCGGCCCCGCGGCCCGCGCAATGTAGCCGGAGTAGCGCGAGAAGGAGTCCTGCTCCTGTAGATACTCCAGCGACGAGTCGTATCCGCGTGACGAATCGTTTATATCGCGTACAACGCTGGTGATCTCTTCGGTTCTGCTGCTGCTGCTACTGCTCCCGCGGTTTTGCGACCAATTGGAGCCGGACACGCGGCGGTCGGGGAGGGATTGACCGGGGGCGGTGGACTCTTGGGACGGCGAGGTTGTAGCGGCGGCTACAGTCACGCGACCGACACGCAGCGCGGGTAAGCGGGAAATGCTGAGAAATTTCGGATACTTTTGCCGGGCATTACAGCGAGAGCGTGCGGAATTGGCTGAACCTGGACCGCTTCTCGAGATGCAACGTGGCGCGAGGAGCAAGGTCGGAGAGCGGAGACCCCTGGTCGCGACGACAGCCATAGCGACAACCACTAACGACCTTTACTCTCTGCACATACGATGTGTGTGACTCAAAACAGGGTAGCTGGCATGTACTTCTCCCCTCGAAACAGCACCAAATTAGTGTAATGATGGTGGTCTGGCTGGACTCTGGAGTAACACGTGGCGCGCAGACGAAAATTCACGTGGCCAGGAACCAAAGAAGTGGGAGTGCGTCTTGGAGCAATCAGCACATTGACTGACGCGATAAGAAGTTTGTCAGCAACTGGATGCACCGTGTTTAAAAAAATAAGCACACGTCCCGAGAACCGCGCTCCTTGAGAAGAAAAAACAAGAACCATGAACAAAGTGGGTCATTCCGTAACAGAAAACCCGAAACCATCTGTATAATAAAAATATAAAATATACAAGTAAACGACAGAAAAAACAATGGAGAACACGTATAGTTCCTTATAGAGAAATACAATGTGGGAAGTTCGGAATCCCTGACAAACGAATTAGAAGAGGAGAAATTTGGGCGCTCTGTCATTCCCTCCAAAAGTCCAGGTTCGGTTTCTCGGGCCTACTACTTCGCTCATCCGCCCTGCTAGTCTTCTCTTTTCAGCCCACTTAGATCCTTTTCCCAAGCCAGCCGGCACAAAATCGCGAACCGCGTCACACCTGACAGGTTTGGATTCCAGTTTTACAGAAGAATCTGCCACAGGGCAAACCGAGCAGCAGGGGCTAGTAAACGACGTGAGGTTGCCCGTCCCCATGAAAGGGACGGCGTCGCGCGGGTGATAGGCAGATGTATGTGAGTTCAGAACAACGTCATTGGTCCGTGCTGAGCCGGCAAAGTTCCAGCCGCACTGGGAACGGCCAGATGTCGCTGATGCGATTGTGGGGCATCCTCGTGTTTCATCCGCAGGTTCGGATGGAATCCCAAGGTTGAGAAGAGCTCCCCGTCTCAGTAATCTCTCGATAGTTCCGACGCTCTAAGCCAAGCCTCCGTCAACCCCGCGCAACCGCCGGAATGCCGCCGAGCCGAGCCGAGCTCCATTGGGGAAACCCCGCATGCGAGAACGAGCAACCCAAGCCCACCCCTCATACTTATTACCTCCTTGCTGGACCTTCCTAGTAACAGGTATTCATCTTATTTCGAGCTTTGTTCAGGGCTCATCACTCTCGCGTCCTGTGTGGATTTGAGCTCATAGGGCACCTTTTGAGACGTCTCAGAAGTTGACCTCATAGGGCGCCATGGCGACCACTTCGGCGGCCGTCCTCCCATCAGGGGCCTTCCTCACCCGAGGGTCGGAGATCCAGAGAATTCCCGTGCGCGCTGCTGCCGGAGCCATATCCTCCAAACTCCGAGCCTCCCCGAGATTGCCCGCCCTGTCGACTCCATTCATCCGATCCCTCAAACCCGCTGCGGCTCCGACCGTCGGTCTGCAGTCCAAAAGGCGACAAATCTCATGCGCCGTCGCGGCGGAACCTCCTCCCAAGCAACCCGCGGCGACAGATCCGCCACCGTATGAGCCGGTGCACGTGCCGTTCTCGGACGTGCTGGTGCAGCAGAAGCGGCCGTATTTCTTCAACCGGGACTACACGGCGAGGGACTGGAACTACCTCGTCAACTTGAGCTTGTACCATGGCCTGTGCCTCTTCGCTCCAGCCACCTTCTCCTGGGAAAACTTCGGCCTCTTCCTCAGCCTCTACGTCGTCACAGGTGCGTTTTTTCTTCGCTTCCGAACCTTCTTTTCTCTTCTTCTTCTTCTTCCGCAACCGTGAATTAGCGATTGTAATCGAGCGTTTGATGCTCATCTTCTTTACATTTCATTTGATGCTCTACCTTTCAGGGCTGTTTGGGGTCACCCTGTCATACCACCGCAATCTGGCGCATCGTTCGTTCACGCTTCCCAAGTGGCTCGAGTACACTTTCGCCTACCTCGGGGTTCTCGCCATTCAGGTGCGCCGCCGTTTCTCGTTGCTCGCTTCTCCTTGCTCCTGCTCGTCGATCGCTGTGATTGCTTGTTCTCTCAGCTGATTTCCTTTTCCTGTGACGCGCAGTGAGTTCTTTTAAACTTACTCTCTCCCGTAACGCGCATTCTGTTTCCCCGCACAAACAACCACTTTTTCTGTTTCCTCTCCGTCGCGCCCTACAGGGCCACCCCAAGGAGTGGGTGAGCGCGCACCGCTACCACCATCGCTTCGTCGACACGCCCGGCGACCCGCACTCGCCATGCGATGGCTTCTGGCACAGCCACATGGGGTGGGTTTTCGACGAAGTCTTCACGCAACAGCGGGTAAGATAAATGTCAAGTGCGCTGCTTTCCTGCCTCGTAGCTCACCTTTGCATGCTACCGCACGATCAATGTGGAAGCAGTTCAGCCTGGAACGGAAAATGGACGTTATTTTGTAACAGCATTTACGAGTGAGGGACTGACTCCTTACCGCGTGTTGTCCACCAAACTCAACCTTTTTTCTGCACTGTACCGTACTGTACCACGTAAAACCACAGGTGGGCGTGCGCGACAACATCGCGGACATGGAGAACGACCCCTTTTACGATTTCATCGAGGCCACCTACCACTGGCACACCGTCGGCTCCGTGGCGCTGCTCTACGCCCTCGGAGGCTTCCCCTGGGTCGTCTGGGGCTTCGTACGTGCTCCCTCGCTTGCGCAACTTTCGCTCAATTCTGTGTATTCTGGATGCTTTCAGCCATTGCTGCGCCTCTCAAAACCGAACTGCAGACAATTCATGATAAAAATGCCGCGGTCGGGGTAACGACAGCTGTGCGTTTCACTCTATTGTTTATTCCATGTCCGTCTGTCTGTCTCAGGGCATGCGCTCTGTGGTGGTGCTGCACATCACGGGGCTAGTCAACTCAGCGGGACACGTGTGGGGCTATCAATCCTGGAACACCGGCGACCTTTCACGCAACAACTGGTGAGCCCTTGCCAAGTCCTTTCCGTCCCTTCAACCCCCTCCCCTCCCCTTTTCCCCCCCTTCTTGGTCCCCCACACGCTCCCTTCGGAAGTGGCCTGTGGATGTAGGTGTCAGAACTTGTTGTGGCACCTACATCCACATTGTGGCACCTACATCCACAGGCACTTGGGTTGAGATCTTGAGATCTATGTGAGCCAGCCTCTTCGGTTGCACAATGGGTCCAAGACTGTGTTTCAGGTGTCTTTGGCCAGAGTGTGTCCACTCCTGGCCTGAAGCATGCTATCTGCAGGTAGTTTAGTCAGTTTTGGGTGAGGATCAGAGCTGTCAGGTTCAGTGAGGTGAGATTGAGCAGAGAACCACTGGGCTCAGTGGGAAGCTCAGAAGGCATCATGTCGCGAGCCAGATTGGATGGCACATGCACGCCTGGTAGCAGTTGCACGGGCTCGTCGCCTTGCGCTCTCTTCCCTACTTCCTGTTGGCTCACCTTTCTTCTCTGCTACACTTCCCTCCCTCCCATGCCACCGTATCTGTCAATGCAGGTGGGTGGGGCTGCTGGCGTTTGGCGAGGGGTGGCACAACAACCACCACGCGTTCCAGTACTCGTGCCGGCATGGGCTGGACGCGCACGAGGTGGACGTGACGTGGTACATCATAAAGCTGCTCGAGGCTGCAGGGCTGGCCACCAACCTCAAGTACCCCCATCAGAAGGACATTAAGCGCCTCTCCCTCCCGGAACAGCCAGTTTCTCAGCAGTAGCTGCGCCGTAGTCTCTACAACCACTCTTCTCAAGCAGTCCTTGTCTTGTCTCCCTCTCTACCATCCTCCCAGCCCTTCTCCTCTCTCGTGTCCCAGTCTCGCGTGGACCGGCTGGTTTAGGAGCATAGATTTGGGATGGCTTTGAAAGTATTCTCTGCTGGAATGGGCGCATACCTGACGTGTCTTTATGTTAAAACGCATGCACATCCTTAGCCCCAGGCTGGAGGCAGTATTGTATAGAGTGTTTTCGGCATACCGTGCGTGATTGTAATTCATCTTTCAGGGTTTTGCTACCTTGACTTCGCCTTGCTTGTAGGCACAACCTATTCATGTTGCGGTATACTTACAGAACTTGTTCCAGAAGAACCTGTTTGTGAGAATGCAAAGCAGAAGCAGAAGTGAACTGTGGAAGCAGAGATACACAAGGTGCTGACCCAAAGCAGATGGAGCTAAGAGGATTGAAGGAGAGGAGAAAGAGGCAGGAGAGGTGGAAGGCGCGGTCTTGACTGCACATGCTTGCGAGAGAGCACGAGGGCAACGGCTCCTAGCCTAGTATGCCAAGGGGTGTTTATGCCTTAGAGTGAAGAAGGAAAAAAATAAATTACGAGAGCTGGTTGCAGAAAAATGCGCGGTACAAGAGGAAAGTGGCTCTGATTACCAAGTGCTACGATTGTAGACTGGTATTTTGCCCTGCCAGACTGTTGTTACCGTACCGTATATTCTCAGACAGCTTGACAGTTTATCATTGCGCCCACGCTAATCCAGGTCATAAGCTTTCGCTGAACAACACATACCCTGCATATAACGCCTTCTACATGGCACCCTTCATACTCCAGGACCACAGTTACACTCTTGAAATCCTTCACACAACTAGCATGGAAATCGTACCGCACCACACCGAATCGCACCGCATGTGCAGCAGCTGAGTCTCTTGCAGAGAGGCTGATGGGCAGTGCAGTGCGTCAGTGTGACAGTGTGCCTTGTGTGGCGCCTCAAAAGCGGGCAGCGTGACAGTGTGACACAACAGTGTGAGGCAGATTCCACACGGCAGCATCAGTGGTGATTGCCCACGGCCTGCGCTGCCTCCCCTTGCACCTGCTCCGCAGCACTGCCTTCCCCCTGCCCCTCCGTGTGCACGCGCACATACCCCACCGGCGGGCACCTCAGATACGTCACCTCCGCCTTGCTGTTGCCCAGGAACAGCCGCGCCTGGGGGAAGAGTGAGAGGGACAGAGCAATGCAGGGAGGACGGAACGGGGAGTTGAGACAGGCAATGATGTTTATGGCGTGGATGACGCCGTGTGAATGAGGCGTAGATGGACATTGCAGAGGCACGTGCAGCGGTATGGGTATGGGTATGGGTATGGGTATGGGGATGGGTATGGGTATGGGTATGGGTATGGGTATGGGTATGGGTATGGGTATGGGTATGGGTATGGGTATGGGTATGGGTATGGGTATGGGTATGGATATGGATATGGGTATGGGTATGGGTATGGGTACAGGTACGGATATGGGTATGTGCATGCGCAGGAGCATGGGCAGGAGCATGGGCAGGAGCACGGGCAGGAGCATGGGCAGGAGCATGGGCAGGAGCATGGGCAGGAGCATGGGCAGGAGCATGAGCAGGAGCATGGGTAGGTGCATGGGCAGGAGCATGGGCAGGAGCATGGGTAGGTGCATGGGCAGGAGCATGGGCAGGAGCATGGGCAGGAGCATGGGCAGGAGCATGGGCAGGAGCATGGGCAGGAGCATGGGCAGGAGCATGGCAGGAGCATGGCAGGAGCATGGCAGGAGCATGGGCAGGAGCATGGGCAGGAGCATGGGCAGGAGCATGGGCAGGAGCATGGGCAGGAGCATGGGCAGGAGCATGGGCAGGAGCATGGGTAGGTGCATGGGCAGGAGCATGGGCAGGAGCATGGGCAGGAGCATGGGCAGGAGCATGGGCAGGAGCATGGGCAGGAGCATGGGCAGGAGCATGGGCAGGAGCATGGGCAGGAGCATGGGCAGGAGCATGGGCAGGAGCATGGGCAGGAGCATGGGTAGGTGCATGGGCAGGAGCATGGGCAGGAGCATGGGCAGGAGCATGGGCAGGAGCATGGGCAGGAGCATGGGCAGGAGCATGGGCAGGAGCATGGGCAGGAGCATGGGCAGGAGCATGGGCAGGAGCATGGGTAGGTGCATGGGCAGGAGCATGGGCAGGAGCATGGGCAGGAGCATGGGCAGGAGCATGGGCAGGAGCATGGGCAGGAGCATGGGCAGGAGCATGGGCAGGAGCATGGGCAGGAGCATAGGCAGGAGCATGGGCAGGAGCATGGGTAGGTGCATGGGCAGGAGCATGGGCAGGAGCATGGGTAGGTGCATGGGCGTGGTGTCACTTGGTCCACTATATGCTGTCTGCCATCTCCCACCACGTTGACTTTTGAGTCAACTCAAAAGTCAACCTTTCCTACACATAGGCCTATTCTCGCTTGGAGTTTACCAAAAGGAGTTGGTAATCACCTGGTCCACTGCGTCCTATATGCTGTCTCCCATCTCCCAGCTCATTGACTTTTGAGTTGACTCAAAAGTCAACCTTTTGTGCCAGTGGGTAATCACCTGGTCCACTGCGTCCTGTATGCTGTCCGCCATCTCCCAGCGCAGCACAGCCGGCCCCCGCGGGTCCACAGCACCCACCACATACACCTTGCCCACCTGCCCAGGCGCAAGGGGGAAGGCGGAGTGGGAGAAGGGGAGAATGGGGGAAACAGAGGGGCGGCAAAGGTGCGCGAACAAGAGAGGCTACGACAGCATGAGCATGAGCAGAAGCGCCAACAATGCCACCAGACATCGTACTGTATGGTCACATGCCCAGCACCCCATGACCCACGTTCCCCACACCCCCCACAGCACGCACCTTATCCATGCCGTGAGCGGCCCACGTGTACATGTAGAACCCGTGCACGGTAGCGGGCCCCAGGCCCAGGCGGCTGGCGGTAGATGTCATTCAGCTGCTCGTCCTGCACAAACCATACATACCCCACGCCAGACACCCACAGCACGCACCTTATCCATGCCGTGAGCGGCCCACGTGTACATGTAAAAGCCGTGCACGGCAGCAGGCCCCAGGCCCTGGCGGTAGATGTCATTCAGGTGCTCGTCCTGCACGAACTGCTGCTGGAAGCGCTCAAACTCGTCCAGCCCTGGAGCCACTGCCAGCACCTCCTCAAAGAGCCGCCGGTACGCGTCGTGCGCCGGCGATGACCACTCGTAGTTCATCTCGTTCACCATTATCTGTGGTGAGGGGGAGTGGAGTGGAGTGGATGAATGCAGGGACAGGACGGATGTCTGCAGATGAGAGGTGTCGCAGGCAGGTGCAGTGATGTGAGCATGGGCACCCTGTGAGTGCGCTCCTCCAATCGAACATGCATGGCACGGCATGTCATCACATGGTACGCGTGGCGTGTCATGGCATCATGGCATGACGTAGCGTAGCATGGCATGTGATTTCATGGCACGGTCTCTCACCACACAGCCGCCCTCCTTGAGTAGAGGCACGCCGTCCACATACCTGGGGGAGAGAGGAGGGGGAGAAGGAGGGGTGGGAGATTGGGGGGAGTTGCACGGGGCGGGAGGGAAGGAGCACTAGTGGGGTAAGGAAGGTGGAAAAGAAGTGGAGGGAATATCTGTGAAACAAGCAGCCATAAGTTGGCATGCAATGGCAGGTAACAACACAGTTGTGTGGAGGCATGGGGCTGAGCATACAGCATGTACTCCCGTGAGGTATGATGAGTGTGCGCAGTGGTGCGACTCACATGTTGTAATAGTATCCCAGTGCGCATGTGTTTAGTTTTGAGTTGACTCAAAACTCGACTCACATGTTGTAATAGTATCCCAGTGCGCATGTGTTTAGTTTTGAGTCGACTCAAAACTCGACTCACATGTTGTAATAGTATCCCAGCGCGTATGTGTTCACCTGCATGGGTTCATACAACCATGGGGCACGCGGGGCGGTTAGAGTGCGGAGCGACTGAGAAGAGCATGGATGGGGACGGATGAGAAGAGCATGGATGGGGACGGATGAGAAGAGCATGGATGGGGACGGATGAGAAGAGCATGGATGGGGACGGATGATGGGAGCAGCACAGCACACAGCATGCGCAGGCATAGCAAGACATGGCAAGGAAAACAAGGGGTGAATGGGTTGCGTGAACACACACGGGCATGCGCCTGTGCAGTTGCCCATGCATCCACAGCACCTTGATCAAGCTTCATACGAGGGTCAGCAGCACAGAAGCTTGATCAACGCACTGAAGAGAGCGTATCCGAGCCGCACAGGGCGCTTGAGCCGGGAGAGTGCATTGCGGTGCGACGTGGTTCGGTGCGGTGCAGTGAAGCACGTGTAGAAGGGTATACGCACGAGGAGGGGGTTGAGGTACATGTCTTTGGTGTAGGGCCTCAACGCACTGAGCTTTGAGTCGACTAGAAAAACATGGGTCATTGTGAGTCGACTCAGAACACGGCTGATTTCATACGCACGAGGAGGGGGTTGAGGAACATGTCTTTGGTGTACGGCCCCAACGCACTGGGCGCCAGAATGAGGATGTCCGCCTGGGGGCAGCAGGGCAGCGCAGCAGGGCAGCAGGGCAGCGCAGCAGGGCAGCAGGGCAGCGCAGCAGGGCAGCAGGGCACGCGGTCAGGTGGGGAGAGAAGGAAGTAAGGGCAATGCAGAAGGGTCTGCATGGAACACCAAGGGTCTGCATGGAACACCAAGGGTGTCTATGACTCTATGGTAATGGGAAGAGAAGGTCAACGGCAAGGCAGACCAAGCCCAACATACGATAAATGGAATAGTGTTTCAGAAGCACGTTAAGGCTTGACATGCTGCTTACAGTCAGTCTAGCCCTCTCTAAAAAAAATGCTCAACACAACTCGGCTCTTTCATGCTTCTGTCTCTTGGGACAAAGTCATGGGCCCTCTTGGGTGGGTGGGACCCCCTGCTCTCAGCTCACCTGCCCTTGCACGTCCATGACCTTGTCCCGGTATATGGTGGCCAGTGTCCTCTCATGCACCGCCTGGGTCTCCCCTGCTGTCACCTGCACCACCGCCCCACACCGCACCGCACCGCACCGCACGAATTAGGATTGCGACGCCGCACAGCATTAGCTCCACTGCTCGCCAGCAAAACAACTCAGCTTTTGCCACACTGGAATGCCAAGCTGTGAGACAAGGAGAAATTGTGATTACCCCCCCTCCTCCTCTTCCCCTTCCCCTTCCCCTTCCCCTTCCCCTCCCCTCCCCCGCCCTGCCGTACCTGCAGCAGGCCGAACGGGGCTCGCATGAACCAGAAAACCTTGACGCATAGCCACAGCGGCAACAGCTGGTGCATGCCAGGGGAGAGAGCGAGAGAGACAGGGGAGGGGCGAGGAAAGGAGGGGGTGAGGAAAAAAGCACACAAGGGAAGAGACAAGGAAATTCAGGCTGAGGAAAGGTGTGCTGGCTCTCCGTTTGCTCAAGCCTCACCTCTTGCTCAAGCCTCACCTCTTGCTCAAGCCTCACCTCTTGCTCAAGCCTCACCTCTTGCTCAAGCCTCACCTCTTGCTCAAGCCTCACCTCTTGCTCACCTTCCTCCCCTTTCGTACCTTCCTCCCCTTTCGTACCTTCCTCCCCTTTCGTACCTTCCTCACATCCTCGCTCCCCCCCCCCTCCTCTGGCCCACCTTGAGCAGCAGAATGGTGGAGTGCATGAAGAGCTTATGCAGCGGACTCTTGTTGCGCACTAGCTCCGACACAAACTCAGCGCAGAACGGGAACATAGGGGCGGCGGTGGTGGCACTGCTGGTGCTGGTGGCAACTCCCCTCTCCACTTCTCACTCCCTGGACCCACCTTGAGCAGCAGCAGCGTGGAGGCCGCACCTTGAGCAGCAGAATGGTGGAGTGCATAAAGAGCTTCTGCAGCGGGCTCATGTTGCGCACTAGCTCTGACACAAAGCCCACGTAGAACGGGAACAGCTGCAGCGGGAGGGGACAAGGAGCGGTGGAGGGTGGGGGAATGGGGAGGGGGGGTGCAGGGAAGCTGGAGCATGGTGCAGGGAAGCTGGAGCATGGTGCAGGGAAGCTGGAGCATGGTGCAGGGAAGCTGGAGCATGGCGCAGGGAAGCTGGAGCATGGTGCAGGGAAGCTGGAGCATGGCGCAGGGAAGCTGGAGCATGGTGCAGGGAAGCTGGAGCATGGCGCAGGGAAGCTGGAGCATGGTGCAGGGAAGCTGGAGCATGGTGCAGGGAAGCTGGAGCATGGTGCAGGGAAGCTGGAGCATGGCGCAGGGAAGCTGGAGCATGGTGCAGGGAAGCTGGGGCATGGTGCAGGGAAGCTGGAGCATGGTGCAGGGAAGCTGGAGCATGGCGCAGGGAGGCTGACGGGCAGGTAGGCATCATCGCCCACGTGCTCATGCTGGCGTCCAGGCATGCAGGCATGTGGATATGGGGGCATGGGGGCATGGGGGCATGGGGGCATGTGGGAATGGAAGCAAGTGGGCGTGCAGGCATGCGGCATGGGATGGCACACCTGGTCGTCAACGACAGTCTCGACATGGAAGACGTCGGTGTGCTTCTGCATCATGCGCCCGATGCGGTGGAACGACCTGTGCAGCGCACTGCGCGCCGGGTCAAACAGCGACCTGCCAGCCAGCCATGTGCACACAGCGCACAGATGAGGACTCAGCAGCATGCAAGCTGTTGCCCATGGCTGGAATGCCCGACTAGAGCCACACGGCATGGGAGACGTTGGTGTTGAATTGTAGCAATACACAGGTGTTGGTGTTGCCCCCCCCCCTCAGGTCAAGGCATGCCTGGTGTTGCCCCCCCCTTCAGGTCAAGGCATGCCTGGTGTTGCGCAGTGTGTTGGAGTCGTGGTTGTGGCGCAGACAGTTGTAATGCACCTGCATGCACGCATACACATGTTCACATATGAATGCACACACACATGCACACGCACACGCATACACACGTGCGCGGGCACGCGCGCGCACACACACACATACAGAAACAAACCAGGTAACCACATATCCACACACGCACAAGTCACAGAACACAAACTTAACGCACAGTGCCAGTGCACGAAAGCGGCTCTTTCAATACACACCCACAAAACAACCCAGGACTCTCCGAACATACCCATCACCACCCTCCCTCTCTCCATCCCCTCACTCCCTCCACCTCCCACTCGGCCCATCTCTCCATGCGCCCAGCTCAGCAGCCCAACCCACCCGCCCAGCTTTCAGCGCAACTCAGCCAGGCCAGGTGTGAGCGCAACAAGAGCTTACGAGGCCAGTGGCGTAGGACTTGTACCCGCCGTCCATGCTCACGTAGTTCACATTCGCATACACCACCAGATCCGCCTCCGCAAAGTGCCGGTTGATCTGCCATGCCACGTCATTCCGCCGTGCCGCAGTGCCATGCCACAGCACAGCACAGCGCAGGGGTAGGGACAAAGAGAAGAGTGCGGCAACAGCAGCGGATGGATAACAAGTACTGACGAGAACGCTGCATGAACTGCTGTGGGCCTGTGGCCATGGAAATGCAAGCTTCGCAGCCCACAACACCGACCCTTCACACCATCCCTCCACTCTCCCACCTCCCGCACACCACCCCCTCCCTCTCCCCCCCCATCTCCCCTCACCTGAACAGCCTCCCCGTGTGGTGTCACACCGATGTCCACAGTCTCGTGCATATCCACGGCATTGTAATTCCATTCCTCTTTTGACACGTCTAGAAACTTTTGAGATGAGATGTCTTAAATTCCTCTTTTGAGACGTCTCAGAAGTCCCCTCACCTGAACAGCCTCCCCGTGCCGTGTGACACCGATGTCCACAGTCTCGTGCATATCAACAGCGTTGTAATTCCCCATGCGCTGCGGGTAGTACTTGCCGTACAGGTACCCCCCGCAGATGTGCCGGAACTCGTCCGGGCGAACGAAGCGGTGCAGAGCGATGGAGCACACGAAGCGGATGTCTGTGATGCCCGCCGCCACGCAGTCCCTCTCCGCCTCCTCCAAGATCAGTTGCCGTAAGTCCGGGCGGCGCATGGGCGGCAGCGGCACGCTCACATCGTCAAACGCCATCAGGATCTGCCCAAGATCCAAGGGGGCGACCCAAGATCCAAGGGGGCGACCCAAGATCCAAGGGGGCGACCCAAGATCCAAGGGGGCGACCCAAGATCCAAGGGGGCGACCCAAGGGGGCGACCCAAGGTGGCGACCCAAGGGGGCGACCCAAGATCCAAGGGGGCAACCCAAGATCCAAGGGGTGAGAGTGGGGGAGGGGGGGGTGGGGAGGTTGAGGGAAGGATTAGCCACTTGAAATGAGTGTATTTTTAAGACCGCCAGGGTGAGGGGGGGAGGGGAGGGGGGAGGGGGTGTGGGGAGGTTGAGGGGAGGATGAGTCCGGGAGAGAGGGGAGGGACGGTGGAGGAGGTGGGGGATGGTTGGGATGGGGATGTGGGGCGTTGTGCATGGGTGACATGACATGAGCGCCTAGTGCAGGGAGGCGTTGGAGATGGAGAGGTTAGGGAGTGCCATTGGGAGTGGAAAGAAGAACGGAGCTGCCCTGCCAGCCAGAAAAGGCACCTGGGAAAGGCACCTGGAAAAGGCACCTGGAAAAGGCACCTGGAAAAGGCACCTGGAAAAGGCACCTGGAAAAGAGGGCAATCGAGACAATGGATTGCAGTAGCAACAGCAGCGGCAGCGGCAGCAGCAGCAACAGCAGCAACAGCAGCAGCAGCAGCAACAGCAGCAGCAGCAGCGGCGGCGGCGGCAGCAGCAGCGCACCTTGGGGTTGGGATTGGCGTGCTTGATTTGCTGAAGTCTTTCCTTTAGCGGCGGCTGCCCCACAGGGTTGTCCAGAGCGTGCCGTATCATGGCTCGCATCTGCTCTGACGTGCACGTGGCCGTGCATGCCCATGTGCGCACGTGACAAAGAAGGGGGAAGTGGGGAGAAAAGGGGGAAAGGAGGGGGGCAGAGTTGGAAGGCCAGCAAAGGAGAAGAGATGGGGAGGGGCGAAGCAGGGGCGGTTGGGAAGGCGGCAGGCATGCGGCAGGAAGCGATTAGAGCGGATGTGAGACGTGGCAGGTGGATAGAGGGACAGCAGAGCACAGCGCATGATCAGACATTCCAGCGAGCTGCAGGAGCAGGACAAGTGGATCCGTTTGGAGAAATCTCAAAAGTGACTCCCATGAGCGAGTGACAACTCGATCGGAAACAAATTGCGAGGAACCCATTGCAGGATGCATGTTGTGTGTGTGTGTGCGGGTGCACGAGAGGGAGGGAGTGCAATGCGTGAGGCGTGGTGTGGCACTGGCCTTGTTGGGGTTGGATTCGCCATCCTTGCACAGTCCAGGGTACACCACTCTTGTACCCTCGGGTAACTCCATCAGCTCCATCCTCTCGCCCGTTTGTAACAGAAATTTCTCACCCTGCGAGTCACGTAATGCCCATTTAACGTCATGCCACGTCAATGCCATGCCATACCCACGCCACGCCACGTCACGTCACACGGCACAACAAGGCAATGGATGGCACGCAGCAACAGAACGCTGTGTGGTGTTCAGCGCGAGAGGGCAGGCGTGCAGTAGTGCATGCACGTCACGATTGGCCATTGGCAGACACCAGTGCACCCATGTACGTGCGTGGGATGATGTGCATAAAGACAGGTGCGGAAATGCACTCCCCGTCTCCACTCGAACCGTTGGAGACTTGTGGATCCGCTCAAAAGCCGCCCTTCATTCCATGCATCTTCTTCACGTCGCCTCACTGCTCCGCCCTCACCATCCCACCTCCTCCCTTCGCCCCCCGCCCACGTCCTCTTTTAACCCTATTCGAAGGCCCGTGGCGCACCTTTTTGGAGTAGAACACCTGCTGGGGCCGCTTGTGCGTCCCTGCCGTGTTCACCCAATCAGCAGGTGCCACGTCACCGCTCTCTGCTGCACGGCATGCGACGCTCATCCGTCTGTCCGCCTGCCTGCTGACGTTCCATGCCGTCCGTGAGCACGCGCGTGCGGAGGAACGCTCCCCCGAAGGCGACGAATGCGCGCGCTGTAGGGGGACAGGGAGGCGCCTGGCGGAGACCACGCGGAAACATGGCGCAGGCATGGTGGGATGACGTGGAGATGACGTGGCGCAAGAATATCGCTGAAGTGTCGGGAACGCACGGAGGGCTGTGGCCGGAATCCACGCACCTAAGTGGTGTAGCGAGCTGACGTGGCAAGAACGACGTGGCAAGCTCCGCATATCTCGCGGAGCGCAGACCTCGCGATCCACGCTGCAGCCGCAAGTCACGGGGGGGCTGTAGCCGTGTCAGCCCGCCCATCCCCACAGCAACGCGCGACGGCGTACCAGCGTGAATCGCGGGCGATGGGGCGTGCCGTGACATGCCAAGCCAATGCGGGCTGTTCTATCTAAAGACAGCACGCGGGAAAGGGGGCTGGTCACAGAAACGCAGGCCCTGTTCGACAGGCAACTAACTGAAGTCGCTCGGGTCGCCTGCCTAGGTTCCGAACCCAGGCACGGATCGGAAATGCTGCGCCGGCGTAGTCGCCGGCGACAATCACGCAATTATGCCCCACAACGACCACTGTTCCAGTGTTTTCAACAGTGATTTCTCCTGGGCGATCCACGGTCTGCAAAAAAAAATACCAGCTGCTTTCGTATGGCTGCAGGAAGAAAAAGGGATTTCTCAGGCCGTGAACACTGGTTTTTAGGACGGGCCACATTTGAGACATCTATCCGGTTGGGGATACTGGGGTGTACAGTAATTCGTGATGTTCTGTTTCACTGTTTCGTTAATCTTGGCGAACAGTCAGAGAAGTCACTTAGGGCAATAGGTCTTCTAAGGGCGGGGTGCATCATGCTGTTTTGCAGGGTCGCGATCTCAAGCGATCCTCACTACAGTGTTTTGTCTTTTGCGCACAGTAACAATTGTAGCATTGCTGCACCACGAACTTGGGGGATCGCGAAAACTGCCACCCAACCACCCTCGATCACGCTGGATCTCAATGCCTGCGATCCCACGCGATCAAGGGTTGGAGGTGCACCTCGTGCACCACCGATCCTTCTCGCGATAAAAATATCGTCGCCGAACAACAAAACGAACCTAGAGCGAGGTAAATACGAAACGGTTCCGGAATGGACGCTGAAACCAAATGTACATGCGACGCCTTGACCGCGTCTCATTGGTGGTTGGGGTTCGGGACTGCAAAACTGCAGGTGGTGCATCATAGGGGGGTGCCATTGGGTCGCAGGGGACCCCGACCAGATTCCACAGGGTTGCGGTTCTAATATCGCGATCATGCAATTTCATGCAATTTCAGCATGATGCACCCCGCCCTAATATGGATCTTTTAGCGCACTCAAATCAAGCATATTGTGTTGAGAACTTTCAAAAACGTTTCTACCCCGCCTAATAAGGATCCTGAGGACGATCAGGACACATGTGGCTCGGAGAAGATCGATGCCCACATTTCCGCAGACCTCACACCCTCAAAATCTCCTGCACCCCATACTCAGCATCTGCCGCTCCTCCCTTCTCGTGACGTCGACATACGTGTACGATCCCCCTCCCTCATGCTAGTTCGCCAAGTCTCCATGGGAACTCCCTCCCCAACGGCCTCCCGCGTGCGTGGAAGTACACCTCCACTTTTCACCTCCCCCCCCTCACCCCACTCGCCCCCGCGTCAACCCCTGACATGTCCCGGGCCGTGGATACGCACGCTCTCCCGTGCGGTGGCCTTCACGTCGTTACCATGTTAACACACCTCCGCATCCTCTGCATCAATGTGAATGGAATCAACGAAACCCGCAAAATGGATGAGCTCAAGTCCTGGCTCTCGCGCCTTCCTGCCCCCACCGACCTGGTCATCCTCATTGACACCCGTCTTATCCTTAGAATCCCCAACCTCGATTTGAAATTTCGGCCCCACGCTTCTGCCCACGCCCCGGCACTGCTCTCGACCGACAATGCTACCGGGCGGCCCACCCTCATTGGTGGAGTCTCCATCCTCTCCTTCAACAGGGCCATCTCGCTTTCCTCCCTGATCCCCTCTGCAGATGGCAGGCTTGTCACGGTACACCTTAACTTTCTCCGTGATCAAATCCGTCTGATTGCCTTATATGCGCCCACACAATTATACGAACGTCGAATCTGGTGGTCCACCACGCTTGTTCCGGCACTGGAAACCCCAACCGCTGCATCCGCGACCATGCTCGCCGGAGACTTTAACTCGGTCACACTTCCTATTGACAGAAACTGTCCTCTGAAGGATTACGAATGTCGTGAAGGAGCTTCTTTCTCTTAACTCATGGACAATCACTCGATGGTCGATACATTCCGTGAACTCTTCCCCACACCTGCCAACGTCTTCTCCTTCTATGGCAGGCAGCGCCTCAACTCAGTGTCTCCGCCCACATCTTCCCGTCTCGACAGAATCTACATCTCCCGAGCCTTCCTTACCCGTCTTGCTGCCAGCCCGTACATACAAACCCGAGAGGCTATTACGGATCACCTGTACGCCCCTCTGTGCTCGCTCTGGTTCGTTAACCCCATTGTCGCCCCCCGGCCCTGGCGACTTCGCCAACATCTACTCGTGAGACCCCGCGCCGCACACATCATCGACGCCGCCCTCGCTGCCTTCCCCTCCTCCCCTTCCCTGGAATCTTGGGACAGATGGAAGCTGGACCTCACCCTTAACTTCAAAAGATTCTCCAACCTCGAAAGACGGCGTGTCGACGGCACGGTCACGCATCTGGAGCGCACTATTGGCTCCCTACAGTCGCAAGCAGCATACACGCCCTTGAACCAGAACGAATCAGCTCGACTAAGCCAAGCACGGCTCCAACTGGCCAGATACGAAGCCTCGAAAGCCTCCGAGATTGCACTCAAGGCAAAGCTGAAAGTGGAAGGACACAGAGAAATGGGTGTCTCCTCCCTCCTTTCTGGACTCAATTCGCGAATCAAAGGCTCGATCATCAACTCCCTGACCCTACCTAACGGACAGACGACCTCGTACCTGTCCACCATGACCAACATATGCTCTAGCTTCTTCCGGACACTCTACAGCGGGAACAACCCCGTCACCCCCAACCCATCTTTCTGGCAACACATTCCCCCCTCATCCATCCCAAACCCCTTATTCCTTCGACTCAGCGCCCCCCTCTCACTAGCAAAAATCGGAAAAGCACCCCTCTCTCTTTCACGAGGAAAAACCCCTGGCCAAGATGGCCTCCCCGGGGAGCTCTTTCGACAATTTTCCCCGCGTTTCGCACCGGCCTTCCACTCCCTACTCTCACCTCCAGAGCCACTCTCCTGCCTCCCTCCATCCATGCTGATCGGACGAACGGTCCTTATCCCCAAGAGGGGGGACTCATCGCTAGTGGAAAATCTTCGCCCCATCACCCTAATGAACGCTGACTACAAGGTACTCGCGCTATGCCTCGCTAACCGCCTCCAGCTCGACCTCCCCCAGCTCATCCATCCATCCCAAACTGCTTTCATCAAACACAGAAAAATAGGAGACACGATTAACGATACCCTTAATATCATGGACTGGGCGGCCTTCTCTTCGTCCCCCCTGCTCGCTCTTACGGTGGACTTTCGCAAAGCCTACGACCTCGTTGATAGGCCTTTCCTCCTCCAAGCCTTATCAGTCCTGGGGCTTTCCGCACCTTTTATCCACTGGGTCCGACTAATGCACTCCGACACGCATACACGCATCTCGGTCAACAACATGCTCGGCCCCACCTTTCCCGTCCGCACTGGTGTTCGACAGGGCTGCCCACTGGCTCCCTTGCTCTTCGTTTGTGTCATGGAGATCTTTCAGCACTACATGTCCCTATTCCTTCCCGGTTTCGCCCTGTCCTCCACACAACGCCGCCTCATGGCGTGCTACGCGGATGACGTCACCCTTTTCCTCACCTCAGACACAGAGCTCGGACATGTTGTAGTGCTGCTTGGCATCTTTGGATCGGTCTCCGGGGAGGTCCCCAACTGGAACAAATGCTCCATAATTCCATTCAATATCCCCCCTGCTGACCTCGTGCACGCAGGGATTATACCCATCTGCGCTCCCAATGAGGCAGAACGCATCCTCGAAATTTACGTCGAGCGTCTACACCCAGGCTCCACCACCTGGAACAAGGCTCTCGCCCGCATACAATGCACCGCCAAGTTCCTGGCAGCCTTACACGCCACAGTTACGTGCCGCAAATCCCTTTCCTCAATCTTTCTGAACTCTGTCATCTCATTTCCCGGACACTTTCAACCCGCCCCACCAGACATAATCAAACCAATGGATGTGTCAGCTGGGAACTTTCTTTCGTCCTCGAAACACAAACAAGACGGCCTCGCACAACGCCTCATTTCCAAAGCCCTCCTGTACAACTCCCCGCAAGACGGCGGGGTCGGGGCGATTGCCCCGTCAACACAAATCAAAGCTCTTGCTATTCAGCGCGCCCTGCGCAGATTCGGACCAACCCCCTCTGAGGAAGTAGCACGTACCCTGACCCCGTTCCCTTTCGGGTTACACGGTCTACTCTCCCACGAAGCCATCCTCAAACGACACTATCTCCCAACATTCATCCCCCCCCGGGCGCTGGACGAACTAAAAACCCTCCTCTCCCTTCCCCTGGTCATTCATGGCCCCCCTTTACGAATGCAATGCATCCTCACCGAACCTATCGCTTTCAACCGCGTACTCCTCAAACCCGACAACCGGCCTTCTGGCACCAGCCAACACGAACGCTTCCTCCTTACAGGGCAGTTTCGTATCGGACACATTGTCCGGATCACCAACTTTCATGTCGGCCCCATCTCTGTAGAAAAATTCTGCTCCCTAGTCCCGGAGGAATTCCAAGAAGACGCAGCACGCATCCTCCCAGACCTTGTCAAGGCTATTAAACCTCTCTGGTGGGCCGCCCTCCGAACCCCACACGCCTCTTCTGCCTCTCCAGGAGACTGGTTTATGCCTTCGGACGACCACTATTCCATCTCTCATCTCGCCCTCCAAGTTGTCGCCTTCGTTCCCCCCCTCCTCCGTCTCGGCTACTGTCCACAATGTCTCGCCAAACAAGCGTATCGCCCGCGACCTAGCTGCCACCGGACTCTTCCGATTACAAGACCTCGTGGAGGTGCACGTCAGGGAGTGGTGGCTCGCAGGGCCACTTCACATAGGGGCAGGGCTAGGAGCTAGGGTAGACCTTCTACAGGACGGCACCCCCAGCATCGCCGACATCCGCCGTCTCCTCTACTCAGCACAACTGCTAACTCATCACCTCCGATGGACCCGCGACCTCACCCTTCCTCCTCCTCCTCTCCCTGGCCTTAAGGACTTATTTCTCAAGGACCAGCCGAGCCGCCAGCGGGACATCATTTTCAGACTTTACACGCTCACCCTCCCCTCAGGGTCACGTTTCCAATACTTTGACGATCGTGGGATCTGTTCTCGTTGCCCAGCTGCTGTCGTCGAGACATTGCCGCATATCTTCTTCGAATGCTCCTCCGCCGGAAATGTCATCTCGGCCCTCCGAACTGTCGCTGACCGCCACCTTGGACAAAACACCACCGCCGAGCACATTTTCTTCCCGATACAGTCACGAGTGGGACAGTCCCCCCCATGGAGCCTACTTGTGGGAGCTGCAGTTAAGACGCTGTGGAATGCACGCAGCGCCCACAGATATCACAACTCCTCCTCCTCGAGCTTTGAGATACTGCAACTGATTTTAGCCCAATTCCTTATCGCCTTCAAGATCTATATGTGGAGAAGCAAACGCCAATCTACCAAGAAGCGACAACGCACACTCTCCAGCATAAAGCAAGCACAGAAACTCCGCTTCCTCCTCTTCGACAGGAGCGGCACACCCTCCATTCACCCCGACCTCAGATTCTCATGGCTCCTGGGCAACCCTTTTCGACCCCCGTAGGCAGCTACCGCATAGAGCGTCTCCTCAGTCTGCTGGCGGTTGTCCGTTAGGACAAAGGAATAACGTGTGTTCCACGTGCTCCTTTAGGATGCTGGCCACCTCGGCCATGTTTCTAGACTGCTCTATGGTATTATTATTTGTACATTGATTACGATCAATATATAACCTTAACCTTAACCGAACCTCCTTTGGTGTGTACAAATGTATGACATCCTTACTCTGAATATGGGCAGTTTGACGATGGAAAACCGTTCAGGTTCAGGTAGACTATCCATAAATATAGTAGGTAGCTTAGTAGCTTGAGAGATAACATAAATATATAAATATATATATTCACAGGGGGGCTTCTAGACTGTGCTGAGCAGTCTCATTCAGAGAAGAGCGTGGTCTCAAAATACTCCTGCTGAACCACATTAGCCTGCCTCTTATTTAAGGGCCTTTTCCTTCAGAACGAACTTGCGCAAGCCAGGGAAGTGAACATGGCACAGGTAGTGGTTCCAGTTGATGTTACGAACGTTGAAATTGAACCTGTGCTGCTCTTCAGGTGACATTGCAGAGAACAGGTGTTCCATGTTGCTGGAGTCAAACCTGCATGCAGAGGCAAGGCAACACATGAGGTCAGCAAATGCTGTGATTGATTGTGCATGCGTGCTTTTGAGTCGACTCAAAAGAGAACAGGTTTTCCATGTGCTGGAGCCAAATCTGCATGCAGAGGCAACGGTTGGCCAAGAGAAACACAGACTTGCAAAGAGGCAAAACACGAGATCGACAAATACTGTGATTGTGCATGCGGGGATTGATTGTGCTGTAACAAGGATTATAACTTACAGTGCCTTCCCGAAGCAGTAAGGCATGTACAGCTTAGCTAAGCGCCTGTATTGATTGTGCCTCTTGGTCAGTTTTGCAGCCTGTCGCTGCTTCTGTGCTGGTCCATTTCTAGGGTCAAGTGTCACCAACTGCAACACAATTGTGCAAAGGTAGGAAGATTGAGTGAGGTGAGGAGGGGAAAAAAGGGCCAATACAAAAAAAACCAAGGATGGGCAAGAGGAGACGTTACTCACAAGCCTGGGCAGTTCATACTGAAACCAAATAGCAGCCATGAAGAGCACCGGCCATGGAAAGGCTATCATACGGGACACAGAGATTGCAGTCCCATCCTTCCGCTTCATGGGATTGGCAGCAAAATGCTTGGTGGTGGCAGCAAACAGTTCGTTGAAGCACAGCGGGTTAGCATCCGAAGACGTCACATGGTAGACAGGGGGCAGATGGTGCTTGGAAGTGGGTCGAATGGCACTCCGTGGTGGCTTTGCATTGCTGGCAGCAATGGCAAGGATAGCGTTGGCTAGTAGGTCCACTGGAATCTGAATGTGGGAAACAGTCGGGTCGGGACAAACAGAAAGCAGCAGTAGAGAGGGTTTGCTTGCTGCTGCCCACACATGTGGCATGTGGTTCATAGGCAGATCAGACAGAATATAGAGAATCAAGAGGGGAAGAGGAAGTGTAAGACGGGCTAACAATGCAACAGATCTAAAAGAGGGGGCCAGGAGGAGGGGGACGGGGGAAGGTGTTGCGGGGGAGGGGGAGGGGGAAGGAGAAGAAAGGGGGGATAAGAAGGGGAAAAGGTAAGAAATGGCAACAAGATTTGTTAAGAATGCAATAAGCCACGGGGAGGGACGAGCGAGGAGGTGGAAGGGAGGAGGCGAGGCGAGGCGGTGGAAGGGAGGAGGCGAGGCGAGGCAAGGCGGTGGTGTGACTGACAATGTCGCAGATGCCGTGTGGCGGAGCGTGGAAGCCCATTATCTCCCCCTTGGCAAACGCCATCAGCACTGGATCCGCCACCCTGGTATTGTGGGCCGGTTGTGATTGGCACCACGCAACAGACGAGAGTGTGAAGATTGGGAGGAGTGTGATAAGAGCGTGAGACGGGGAGGCGCAACGGAAGGGAGAAGACAAGTGGGAGTGTTTCAAGTGAAAAGCTTGCTGCTTGCCATGAGAGACAATGGCATGTGGCACACACACTGGTGCTTGCACAAGACTTGTGAGGCACCTCAAAAGGCACATAAATGATTGCACAACACCAACACAAAAGGCACAAGTGAGAAGGGCCGGTGCCAAGGAAAGGACCAGAGTGAGTGAGGGGGAAAGGTACAACGGAATGCTTGGGGGATGTGCCTGACGCAAGCGAGCAGACAGCGCGAGGTGAGGACTGACACACAATGTGGTGGCATGGCATGGGCTCGTGGCATGGGCTCGTGGCATGGGCTCGTGTCATGGGCTCGTGGCATGGCACCCTCACTCACCGAAAGCCTTCGATCCATCCAGGCATGGGCTCGTGTAGTGCACTCTCCACTATGCTGGGCCGCACCACCACCACCGGCACACGCGCTTCTCCCCCAGCCTTCCCCCCCACCTCCCCCTCCCCTTCCGCCCCCTCTTGCTGCTCCACCAGCGCCATCTCCCCCATTGCCTTGCACAGCGTGTACGCGTCCTGCCACCCAAAGGTACGCGCCCTGGGGTAGGGGGAGGGGGGAGCAGAGGAGGAAAAGCAGGGACGAAAGCAGGCGGAGAAGGGGAAAGAGGTGCAAGTAAGAGCCGGAAGGTGAGGAGAGAGATGGAGCAGCACGGTATGGAACAGGGACGAGAATGGAAGGGAAGTGAAAGTGTGCAAGGACCAGGCGCACCCAACACTTCCCTCACTGTAAGTCACTTATGAGAATTCTCAAAAGCGCACACACCCCCACCCACCTGTCGGCACCCAGGGCGGACATGTGCGCCTCCACCGCCGCTGCCACTTCCTCTGCACTCGCCCCTCTCGCCTTGGCCCCTGCCTCCACCGCCGCTCGCTCCCTCAACGCCAGTGCGACCTCCTCATCCAGGTCCAGCACAGGGACTTGCGAGGTCGCCGCAGGGGACGTGGCAGCAGCGGCAGCAGCAGTGGTGGCAGCCGTAGCAGCAGCAGCAGCAGCAGCAGCAAAATCAGCAGCTGCAGCAGAAGAAGCAGCAGCAGCAGCAGCAGGGGAAGTAGCAGCAACAGCAGCAGCAGCAGCAGCGACAGCAGTGGTGGCGGAGGGGGTGGGAGAGCAGGCGAGCATCTCAGCAGCAATGCTGTCGCCCGGAGAGAAGGGGCGCTCCATGCATCTCCCCTCGCGCTGCCCGTTCACATAGGCTGCGAGGGGAATTAAAGGAGGAGGGCGAGAGGGAGAGGAGAGAGAGGGCGGGCGGTACTTGTGGCAGTGTGCAACAATGTTACAGTGACATACACACTGACACTGCATGACACCGATTCAGTCAGAGATGCACATGCGAGCCAGAGAGGTACATGTGAGCCGGTCGGAGATGCAGATGCGAATGCAAATGCGGCTCACCAGTGGACACGTGCACCAGCAATTGAAGCCTCCGGCACTTCTTGGCGAAGGCTAGCACCCGCCGCGGGCCCATGGTGTTGATATTGAGTGCCACGTCATACCTGACACGCAGAAGGACACGTGGCAGGTTGAACAGGACACGTGGCAGGTCGAACAGGACACGTGGCAGGTTCAAGAGGACAGCAAATTTACAGGGCATTGGGATGCGACACTCCTGACGCGACGTGATGCAACACATGGTTTGGATGATCAACATACATTTTCCGGATGATAGCAGCTCATCACCCAACCCATCAGAGATCGCGCGCTCACTGACAAGTCAATGGCCTTCTAACAAGCTTTTGGGTCGAGTCGACGCAGCAGTCATCTGGTTACACGCGCAGCTGTCAACATGCAGAATCAAGGCTGTATTCAACGCGCAGCCTTGAAACGAGCTTCCATTGAATGGGATGCAGATGCACATGCATATGCGCGGCACATACATACTCGGCTTCAAAGTCAACGGTGGCGGCGAAGTTGAAGATCAGATCGACCGAGTCATGCAGAGCAGCAGCGGCGTGGGCAGCCAGTCCCAGCCCGTCCTCCCCCACGTTGCCCTGCACGGCCGTCAGCTTGCCCGCCATGAACGCCCCGTACCCCTCCCCATGCCGCTCGCGCAGCAGCGAGAACACGGGCGACGGGACGACCTGGGTAGGGGGAATGCAGGAGGAGAGGGAGGGATATGTTGTGTGCTGCCGCCGCAGATGCGGGAAACAGGGGCGAGGGAATGGGCTCTAGTTGTGGGGGCGCGGGGGTAGGGAACAGCAAGGCGGGAACAGCAACCAACCTGAGAGCACGGCAAGCAGCAAGCAGCGCACGCACCTGTTGCGTGAGGCGATGCGCTGCGGTGGCGCGGGCTGTGGGTTGGATGAGAAGATACAGCTGCCCCACGCGCGGCTGCTCGCGCAGTATCTTCTCCACCAACACTGCCGGGGGGAAGGGAAGACGTGGGGAAGGGAAGACGTGGGGAGAGAAGGGGGGGAAAGAGAGAGGACGTATGTTAGAGAATTCTCAAAATTACCCCCCAATACTGTCGGGGGAAAGGCCGAGAAGACGTGGGGAGAGAAGGGGGGGAAAGAGAAAAGAGGTTCCAAGGACCAAAACGGAGTATCGCCGTGTGGACACCTACCACGAGCAAGCACCCCAATGAAGCCCGTGACCACACCGTGACCACCAGAAGCCGCACCTTTCCCAATGAAGCCCGTCGCGCCCGTGATGAGCACGTGCTTTCCCTCTAGGAACGGCAGGATGCCCACCCCGCACGCCCGCCCCTCCTCCTGCTGCTGCTGCCGCGGCACGTCCTGCTGCTGGAGCACCTTTTGGGACGTCTCAAAAAGCACCTCCTGCTCGAGCACCGCAGTAGCCCCCGCGGATGTGGCAGCAGCAGCAGTAGCAGCAGTGCTATCTCTATCGAAGCTCTTGGTGCGCGCGCGACATTCAAGTCCGCGAAGTGGCGAAGAATCAGGCCCTGTTACTAGAGAATACACTGGCGAGGACTGAACACGTGGCCCCTGGTATTTCCCAGACCAGCTTGGATTCCCCCCCACCTTTCGGAGGTAGCCCGAGAGCTTTCTTGCTCCAGAAGGCTCGCCTTGCTGGATCATCATCGCAGTCGCCCCAGCGGTTGTGGCAGCAGCCGCAGCCGCAGCAGCAGAAGCAGGCGCAGCAGGAGCGAGGGTGGTAGACGCCATTGTAAGAGCAGAAGCCAGTAAGGCGGCTGCACAATCTGCGACAAGAGGGGCCAAACAGCAGGAGGCACGGTACCGGCGCTTCCTCAGGAAGGAGGCTATGGCTTGGGCCCTGCCGTGCTGCTGCTAGCAGTACTTGGAGGCTCCTCGGAGGTTGGACGGAAGGCTCTCCTAGGAACTCAGTCAGGCTGAGCGTGGAATATATCCCACGATTTTTCGCCATCGCCGTCGACTGCCAGTCGCCCGGCGGCCTCTGGCGACTGGCATGACCTGGGCGACTCTCCGAGTCTAGCTTTCTGGGCGAGTGACAGCCCCTGTGACCCAGTGGTGCGGAGCCGTTGAGTCCCATGTCGCGCAGGACATGCCAGCCTGGCAACAACATGCCATCATCCCAAAAAATCGAACTTTTCAAACAGGTTTTTAGTTACTGCGGAAGAAAGACTTTCGAACCTGCGCTTTGTAGGTACCTTCGTCACTACCTGCACACAGTTTCCTAGGCATCACGGCCCACACAGAAGACTTTAACCACGTGTCACCTCGGAAGCCGTCTCTGTTGCTACTCAGGCAAAAGGTGCGCGACAATGTTTTGTTTTTTTATCCGGACTAAACTAAATCCCTCTCGGCTGGCAAATGATAAGGGGCATCAACCCGAAACACCTTGCGACTAAGTTTTTAGGGTTGATGCCAACACTAAATCCCTCTTGGCTGGCATGTTAATGAAGGGCATCAACCCTAAACACCTTGTCGCGTGGTGTTTAGGGGTGATGCCCTTGAAAGCTTGCCATCCGAGAGAGTTTAGTTTTGTGCTTGCTGGCAGAAGACAGCCGATGAAAACAGTGCTTGCGTGATGTACGGAGAAGCCGAATTCTGTTTTAGCACAAAAACTCTTCCACCTCAGAAGTGGATAAGCAGAAAGTGTGCGCAAGTTGGGATAAAAGTACCTCAAAAGAAAGAAAGCTACATTAGGCCTACCAATAAAACTAAACACCCTTTTCAAACTTACGGCAAAGCAGGTTTGAAGGAGCTCTGTGAAGTGTACCGTCAATTGGTTTGAACAGACCTACCCCTGGCAAACCTGCACTGAAGCTGCTTTCCGGCTCGGGACACATCGGGGAAATTTGACGACGAATCTGTGCCGCACATCTCAAGATGTCAAAGCTACTTTAGCGTAACTCTGAATGCGGTCCAGTTCGGCAGCCAGGGGGAAAAAATGTTGGGAAGATGTGTGGAAGGTAAGGCGGGCGTCAACCCAAGGTCAACATTCGTTACCCTGTATTCCGCGAATTGCGGATAACCTGCGCCATCTGCGAGCTGGCGGAGGATGGAGGGGGGAGGTATGAAAAATCGCCGCAGGAGAGAGGCACATTTGGCCTCAAATTCGCTTCATCCTTTGCACTGTAGCGGCAACAAAAGGGTTCGCCGAGAAGGAAAAAAAAAAATATATTTTTATGGAGTAGCACTTTCCTTCGTAGGGTGCAATGCTGTCCCGTGAACAGTGAACCCAGGTGGAATCGAAAAGTTGGTTCTTGTTTTGTGAGACTTCTACTGTCTCACTAGGGCGGAAGCTTTCCGCCAAGGGGGGAGAATAATGACAGAAGACGGCGCGGAATCAGATTTTGGAAGTGATCACGTCGCTGCTGATAAACACCTGCGCTTCGATCTCCGAAATGTTAACCCTACAACCCGCACTGTACAGCCCTCGATAATGCGAATAAAAGCTTCATAGAAGATGAGAGAAACAAAAATTTACGTACTTCTTCCGTGGCTGCCGAACTGCGTCGTTTCACTTCTATATCAAAAAGGAAATCTAATCTGTGCCGCACATCTCCGCACTCTCGAAACTACTTCAGCGTAACTATCAATATGAATTCGGGAAAAGATCATATTAGGGCCAAACAGTGCCAGAGGGGTGATCTAAGTAGGGCCGGAAAATCTCGACCGTAGGATTTCAACCCAGAGCTGACCAAACGACTCGGCGAACAATCCGAACCATGAGTAAACTAAAATTACTAAAAACAAACCAGTTTTTTGCTCATTTTCTGTATTGAGGGTTATGACCGCCGTCTACTACAACGTGCGCGTTGCCTTCTTCTGGAATTATGTTTGGGCGTATCAAATCGTAAGTACGTAACAAAACATAATATATTATGGGTGATACATATCACATACCCGATCGGAAACGCATAAGAAAAAAATATATCCATTTGGAAACGGATACGATGTCAGAACATTATAGCTTACTTATTTGTGTAGGCTATAGTGGGATATCCCATAGGGGGTACAACCCAATTAGGGTTTCATATTTGTACTCACTTCATTCATAGTTCATTCATTCTCGTTCAGTTTTCCACATGGTATAGAGCAGGTTCCCCTGTGGGAACTGTGCCTAGGGCCCACGACTCGAATTTTTTTTTTCCTGCCCGAAGCGCACTCATCCCGAGTCGCGCCTCGGGCCACTCCTTCCCCGAGCCGCCCTAGCGGCCGGCCTTACCCTCGCGGCCCCGCCACCCAGTGAACGCGGCCCCGCCGCCTCTTCTCTCGCGGCCCCGCCGCCCAAGCGCTCGCGGCCCCCGCCGTCCCTGATCTCGCGGCCCCGCCGCCCGAGCGCTCCCGGCCCCGCCGCCCCTGATACGCGGCCCCGCCGCCCAAGCACTCGCGACCCCCGCCGTCCCTGATCTCGCGGCCCCGCCACCCCAACGCTCCTGGCCTCGCCGCCCCTGATACGCGGCCCCGCCGCCCCAGCACCTGGCCCCGCCGCCCCTGATACGCGGCCCCGCCGCCCCAGCGCTCACGGCCCCGCCGCCCCTGATCTCGTGGCCCCGCCGCCCCAGCGCTCCCGGCCCCGCCGCCCCTGTTACGCGGCCCCGCCGCCCCTGGTCTCGCGGCCCCGCCGCCCCAGCACTAACGGCCCCGCCGCCCCTTGCTCTCGCGCCGCACGACTGCAGCAGCCGAGCCGCCCACCTGCAGCAGCCGAGCCGCCCGGAGCAGCCGAGCCGCCCAAGAGCCGCCGAGCCGCCCAGCAGCAGCCGAGCCGCCCGGAGCCGCCGAGCCGCCCAGCAGCAGCCGCGCCGCCCGGAGCCGCTGAGCCGCCCAGCAGCCGCCGAGCCGCCCCAGCAGCAGCCGAGCCGCCCAACAGCAGCCGAGCCGCCCGGGAGCCGAGCCGCCCAGCAGCCTAGCGGCCGTTTCGCCAGGCGACCTTCCTCCCGAGCCGCCCGACCTGCCCTGCCCGGTGAGCACTGCACTGCTGTCACTGCGTACCCTTCCCCTACTGCTTGCACTGCTCTACTGTCGTCGTCATGGCTACACCCAGTGTCCTCGCTTTTGACGCTGAGGGTCGAGCCATTGACTTTGAGGTCTGGCTCGACGACCTGCAGCTGTTTTTACAGTGCGACAGGGCCGACGGTCTGTCTCTCTTTGACCTCACCTCTGGCGCCGTCCCTGCCCCTGCTGCTGATGCTGACGCTACTGTTCGCTCTCAGTGGGCCACGCGCGATGCTGCTGCACGTCTTGCTGTGCGTCGCCACCTGCCTACAGCTGAGCGCGCGCACTTTAGCCAGTACAAGAGTGCTCAGACCTTGTACGACGCTGTAGTTGCGCGCTACTCCTCCCCTGCCACTGCTGCACTGAGCCGCCTCATGCTCCCCTTCCTCTTCCCTGACCTTGCCGCCTTTCCCACTGTCGCTGATCTCATCACGCACCTCCGCACTAGTGACACTCGCTACCGCGCTGCGCTTCCTGCTGACTTCTGCGCCAAGAACCCCCCCCCCATGTACATCACTCTCTACTTCTTAGTCACTCGCCTCCCTGACTCCCTTCGTGTAGTCCGGGACCACTTCCTCGCGGTCTGTCCCACCACCCTCACAGTCGACAGCCTCGAGAAGGCCCTCCTTGCAGCAGAGAAGAGCATAGTTGCTGTAGGAGCCTCTCGAGGTGACCCCCGCGCCCCCATCTTTGAGGGGTGTTCTCCTTCCCCTCTCCTGCCCTCTGTCGCCTCTGCCGCTGCGGCCGACCTCGTTGGTCTTGAGTCGGTCGGTGCGGCGTCTGCCCCTAGCGGGAGACGCCGCTCTGGCAAGGGCAAGGGGGGCAAGGGAGCGGGTGGGGCCAGTGGGGGCGGTGGCGGTGGAGGTGGAGGCGGCGGAGGGAGTGGGGGTGGCAGTGGAGGTGGTAGCGGGGGTGGGGGTGCTAGTGGCGGCAGTGGAGGCGGGAGTGGCGGCGGCGGTGGCGGTGGTAACGGAGGTGGCGGAGGTGGCGGCGGTGGCAGTGGAGGCGGGGGCGGTGGAGGCGGAGGCGGGGGGTGGCGGAGGTGGAGGTGGTCGGAGTGGAGCTTCGCAGCGGAGCGGCACTGGTGGCGGTCAGCGCCAGCAGCAGCAGCAGCAGCAGCGATCTCGCGACGTCCCCACCCCTCAGCAGCTCCGTGAGTGGTACACGCAGCGTCAGCGCGGTGGGGGTTTTGGTCCCTGCACCTACGTTCTCCGCACTGGCGACCGCACTGGAGAGCAGTGTGGGGGTGCCCACTCCGCCCAGCGCTGCTTTGGCCGCCTGACGGACGCTTGGCGTCAGCAGTTCCCGGAGGCCGCGGAGATCCCCCGCTGGGGAGAGCTGTCTAGGGCTGGTGTAGCTATCTTTGATCTTGATTTTGATGCTATCCTTGCTGCCATGTATGCTGTGACCATTAGTGAGGAAGGTGACTGTTACCGGTGTTTCCCGCCCGACCCGGGCATTGGTACTGCTGCTCCAGGTGCCGGTGAGGCTTCTGCTCTAGGTGCCAGTGCGTCTGTGCTCTCAGGTGCTCGTGAGACTGCTCTCTCAGGTACTAGTGCGTCTGCGCTCTCAGGTACTACGTCGGCTTCGGCCTCCCACACCTTCACTCTTGACTCTGGAGCGTCTCGCTCTTTCTTTCGGGACCGCACCACACTTAC